TTAACTGTGATTGGCAATACTTTGTGATCAAGCATTCTCATGAATGTGTAATGCTAATAGGAAGCTGAAACCATGTGTTTTCCCTCGTTGCACAAATGCTGCTTCAAAATAAATACGGCAGTCAACTTACTTTTGCATGAGGTTCTTATTCAAACAGGAATGACTGAATGTGATTGTGTGAGAGGAACATAAATTAATTGCCTGGAATGATTTAACAGGTTATGCAAATGCACTTACTATTATTCCATTTTTTGCCTTTATTTTGTTTTATTATTATGAAATAGAATTATTTGTTTATTTATTTAACAGATGTATGTAGCTGTCCACCTACTTAGGAAATTCTGGATGGCAATAAATAAACAAACAAACCCATTCACCAAACTATACAAATCCATTAAAAAGAAACTGGGTCAAAGCCCCTAAATACATTATCAACATATCAAGCAAAACCACATCTACTCCAGATCCCCATCAGAATCTCAGCCCCAGTGCCTGAGGGTAGAGCCAGGTCTTCAGAGCCTTCTGGAAGGCCAACAGGGCTGGGCCTGTCTGTATCCTGGGGGAAAGATTTTCCACAAGACAGATGCCATGCCAGAGAAGGCACACTTTCTGGACCCCTGCAGGTGACACTACTTCACTTATGGGACCCAGAACATGCCCACTGTGCCTAATTTGATAAGATAGGCAGAAAACATCAGGGATGGGTGGTCCCACAAGTAACCTGGCCCCATGTCATGCCTGGCTTTAAAGGTGACAACCAATACTTTAATTGTACCTAGAAGCCCACTAGGAGCTAATGCAGCTCACACAGCAGCAGGGTTATGTGGATGTACCATGGAGCTCCCATACTGCACGTGCTGTTGCATTCTGGGCCAGCTGAAGCTTTTGAATGCTCTTCAAGGGCAGCCCCATGTAGAGTGCATTGCCACAGAGGTGACTATGGTATGAGTGACCACGAGCAGTGCCTGCCAATCTCAGAACTGGGATACAACTGACATACAAATGTAATTGTGTGAAGGGTCTCCTGGCCACAGCTGCCATCTGCTTCTTGAGAGAAGGAGAAGCACCCAGATTGTGCATCGACTCTGCCTGGGTGAGTATTACCCATCCAAAATTAAAGATGTAAAAATCACTAGATGCGGGAATCTAGTATGAAGAATGAGAAAAAGCAGAGATGGCAAAGGAATCTGAAGAGCTCCCCTTAATGAGCCCATTGAAAGAAATCAAAGCTGTTCCATTCTTTTGCCCTTAGTAAATTCCTGTCTATTTCATCAGGTCTGTGTGGAGAGAAATATTTCCTGGAGTCCCTGAATTAAAAAGAAAACATACTGTATATCTCAGAACAGTGATGTGATGTCTACTAACCTTTTCATAAATGCCACCCAAATTAACATCACTCTTAGTATAAACAGCAGGATGCCACCAAAGATTTCAGGGCAGAGTAACAGGCCCTGGAGTTTTGATTCACAGATTTACAGAAAGAAAAAAAAAATGATTTTAGTCTGAGGGAAAGCAAATTCCTTCTCAGCAGTATCATTATTATCCTAAACAAATAAGCATGCTTACCTGCCTGCTGCTGGCATTACAAATTCAAACAATCATGCTTAACCTTTGCAAATAATCCTAGGGTTATTTTAAGGCACAAACTATTC